TGTTTTCTGATGAACACCCACAGTATTTGACTTTATGCAACTGCATGTTACTGGGAAAAATGCATTTGCATTTCACAGTGTTTAGGCCTAGTGCAAAATGAATGTAAACAGTCAGTTATGTCTTAAGGGATTGTAAACAGATGGGGCAAAATTACTGATGTGTCAAAATAGATCATTAGTGCATTAGTGTAGTAAATGGAGCCTATTAGACTTGCTGCTGTCTATAATGTCATCAATAATAATCAAACGGCAATAAAACTGAGAAAAGAAAATTACTTACTGCTCTTGTCTGGCAAACTTTAGCAGCTTTTTTACTAACTGTAGTCCTCTACAGTTAGATTCTCGAAGCACTCTTGTATGTGTTTCTTTGTTCTTCTTTATTACGGACTATTGACTTGTATGTTTTGAAGCTAAATTTAGTTAGTTGAAAATTACTTGACTGCATTAAATTGTCTTTATTTATTATTAGTTTTTAGCTGGTTGTTCATTTAGCTCAAACAGTAAAGCAGATCATGGGTTTGATTCCCAGTGAAAGCCAAAACTAAGTAAATGTGTACCTTAGATTTAATTTGCTTTTGATAAATGTAAAAGCATTGATCAATAGCATAGTTTTTAATCAAGGTATTTTTTTAAATATAAAGAACAGAATAGTTTTAACTGAATTTGTCTGTCTTTTACTGATTTTTAAGAGTACACTGCATAAAAAATAAAGGACGTTGTATATTGCTAACTCCAACAAAAACAACAGCAAAAAAAAAAAAAAAAACAAGCATTAAAATATCACTTTTTAAAACAAGCGTTACAATATAATTTTTATTTTGGAGCATGACAGTCTGTCAAAGTGGCAAATAATGGTTATATTTTGTCAGGTTTTTAATCATTTTGTTACTTTGTTACTTTGCATGGAAGGTGGGCACAGAGAGTAGTTTGTGCAACAAATATTCATTATCAAGCACTTTGATGTGAAGGGTTGTACATTTTCCATCTTGTTCGATTTTAATCTGTCAGTAAATATTGTAACTTTTGCTCTTTGTGTGTGGCATGCACATCATTCCAGAGCTTTGGTGGCAAGAGCTCTTTTAGTTTGATCAAGGTTGTGTTTCAGGTTGTTGATTTTGTGTTTTGGCATCCCTTTTTTCTGTTTGTTTTTTTTTACACTGTGGGAGTGTTGCTAAAATCACAATAAACCAGATCCGACCTTATTTAGTTTATCTGTCAAAATGATGGAAAGTGCTTTGAGTCATCTATTAATGTTCTTAAAATTAGTACAAAACACACTTTAGCCTCTGTCCTCAACTTTATAAAATCTATTCACGATGAAGTGTTAAAGCTTTTGGATGTTTGATATGACACACACACACACACACACTCGCACTCGCACTCGCACACACACACACACGCTCACACACACACTCACACTCTCTCTCTCACACACACACGCTCACACACACACTCACACTCTCTCTCACACACACGCACTCACACTCTCTCTCTCACACACACACGCTCACACACACACTCACACTCTCTCTCACACACACGCACTCACACTCTCTCTCTCACACACACACACGCGCTCACACACACACTCACACTCACACTCTCTCTCTCACACACACACACACGCTCACACACACACTCACACTCTCTCTCACACACACGCACTCACACTCTCTCTCTCACACACACACGCTCACACACACACACACACACTCACACTCTCTCTCTCACACACACACACGCGCTCACACACGCGCTCACACACACGCTCACACACACACACACACACACACACACACACACACACAGTCTTAGAGGCCCGTGGTTGATTTTGTTATTGTGATTACATTATAATGCTGCAAATAGAATGATAACCAGCAGTTCAGCTTCCTTCATTAGCATTCGTCATGGATCATCGTACAGAACGAGCTCTGAATCCACTCAATATTACAACATGCTGCATTTTATTTCTCGTGATAAAGGGGGAATGAAGCCCTAAAGCACATATTTTTAACATGTTAACAGACATGTACTGATTGCATATTGTTGAGAACAATATCACACATTCCTTTGAATACTGAGTGATTCATTTTTGCTACACTTGTCAAAAGTTTGAAATCATGACTTTTGAATGTCTTCTGCTCTGCATTTATTTGATCAAAAATGTGAAATATTATTACAACTTGAAATAAGTATTTTCTATTTGAATATATTTTGATATGTAATTGACTTCTGTGATCAAAGCTGTATTTTCAGCATCATTACTCCAGTCTTCAGAAATCATTCTAATATGCTGATTTGCTGCTCAATTAATCTCTGGTGATCAGTTATTATTAACGGTTGTTATCATTTAAAAATGTTTTTGCGGCCTAATATTTTGTGGAAACTTTTTTTTTACAGGATTTTAAAAGAATAGCATTTATTTGAAACATTGTAAATGTTTTTACTGTCACTTTTTAACAATTGAATGTGTATTTGCTGAATAAAAGCATTATTTTCTATTAAAAACATGCACATATACACATTCAATTGGTGGTATAATCATGGTTTCTGCATAAATATTGGGCAGCACATCTGTTTTCAACATAGATAATAATCAGAAGTGCCAAATCAGCATATTATACTGATTTCTGAAGATCATGTGACACTGAAGACTGGAGGAATGATGCTGAAAATACAGATTTGATCACAGAAATAAATTGCATTTTACAAAATATTCACATAGAAGACAGTTATTTTAAACTGTAATGATATTTCACAGTATTGGTGTTTTTACTGTATTTTTGATCTAATAAATGCAGCCTTGGTGAGCAGAAGAGACTTTAAAACATTTAAAAATCGTAATGTTTTTGCAAGTATTGTATGCGTTTAATTCTGCTTCCCTGAATGCCGTCGACTGTCGGTCTGAACGTTTCAGTGTCTTCAATAATGGCTTCACCGAAAAGACAACTGAGCATCCAGAGCATGTTTGTCCTTGTATCACAGAAAGAACAAGATGGTGCGCAGCTTCTTTATATGCGTGACGTGACAGACATGTGAAGGGGCGGGGCTTATGCACCGTCTGCCAATGATTTTCTTCAGGCTTCAGCAGTGGCTGAAATGAAAGGCAACTGAAATATTTGATTCTGAGCACATTCATATCTTGTGATATTCATTATTATGGATGATTTCCATGCAGTCGCTGCTCTGTCTGATACAGGAGCACACAAACACAGAGGAGACACTCACGGAGTTATACATGAGAGCGGTTCAGAATCATTCCTGGACATGTTCATATCTGCTCCTTTTGGTTTTTTTTACACTGCAAGACTTTTTCACTGTTTATCCTGTATGGGGTTGTGGGAGTGCTGGGAACTAGCCTGCATCCCGAACTGAAGGCAGAGAAACAGTCTGGGAAAAGTCCATCACAGGGTTCACGCATGCATACAGACACACAAACACACACACACGCACACGCACACACACGCACACACACACACACAGGTTTGTTTTTGTGCAAAGTGGGGACATCCCATAAGTGTAATGTTTTTTATACTGTACAGACCGTATATTCTATTGCCCTACACCAACCCTACCCCTAAACCTACCCCTCACAGGAGACTTTGTGCTATTTCAGATTTTCAGTACACTCCATTCTGTGTGATTTATAAGCGTTTTGAAAAGTGGGGACATGGGGTAATGTCCTGAAAAGTCACCTTCTCCTTGTAATGCCTGTCATACCTTTGTCATTATACAAACGTATGTCCTCATTTGTCACAAAAACGCGCACACACACACACACACACACACACACACACACACACGTCTACGGGCAATTTATCATCTCCATTTCACCTGCATGTCTTTGGGTTGTGAAGGAGACCGAAGCCTACACATGGAGAACATTAGGGGTGAAATGATTCGATCACTTCACAATATTATGCATTTTGACAATATTTTGGAATAAATTTATAAGTAAATAAGAGAGTAAATAAAATAATTAAACTTAATAATAAATTAAAGCATTTTTATTTCCCAAAACATGTACTAGCCTAACATGTAGCAGCAATGTTTATATACTTATTATCTATTGATATTTTAAGTAAGCATTTTATATTTTCAGTTTTAATTTTAATTTGTTTGTTGAAACATTTCTAATTGGATGAAAGTTTTTCCATTTAATATTTATATTTTATTTCAGCTCATTTCACTTAACAGAATAATTTTTAATATTTTAATTTTTACTAGTGCTGTCAAACGATTAATCGCATCCAAAATAAAAGTTTTTGTTTACCTAATATATGTGTGTGTACTGTTTATATTCATTATGTATATATAAATACAAACACATGCATGTATATATTTAAGAAAAATATGTTGTTTATATATTAAATATGTTTATATATAATATAAAATATAAGAATATGAATATATAAATGTATAAACATGTAAATATTTTCAAAACATATACTGTATGTTTGTGTATTTATATATACATAATAAATATACACAGCACATATACATATATAATGTAAACCAAAACTTTTATTTTGGATGCGATTAATCGTTTGACAGCACTATTTTAAATATATATATTTTTTTATCTAGTTTTTAGTAATATATATATTTTTTTCATTTTGATTTCAGTTTACATTTTAGTTAAGTTTTAGTATCTAAACAAAAATGAGAAATGTTGCTTTGGCAACAATTGTATTTATTTATATTTAATTTATTATTTTATTGTAATAATTTTATTGTCACACTTTATTTTAAAGGGTTAGTTCACCCAAAAATGAAAATTAGCCCATATATTACTCACCCTCAATTCATCCTAGGTTTATATGACTTTCTTCTTTCGGACGAATCCAGTCGGAGTTATATTAAAAATTGTCTTTGATCTTTCAAGCTGTTTAATGCCACTCAGCAGGTGTTGCATGCATCAGTCCAAAAGAAGTTAAATAAAAATCGCCCATCCATTAAAAAAAAAGCCTGTTTAAATGATGTCTCTCCTGTTCCCACAGTACCAACTGTCTCTGATGACGTTACATCAACGGTGCAGCCTAGAAGATCCACACCTCCCATCAGGACCACAGCTATCAGCATCACCCAGAGACCTGCGCTCAACATCACCATCATGCCGAGCCCCAGCGCCGTCAGCCCGCCCCCCTCCAGCAGACGCTTCTGTGACGGGACAGAGAGGAGAGGAATCTCCTGGCCGCAGACACACCGAGGAGCGACGGTGGAGCGGCCGTGTCCTAAAGGAACTCGAGGTGCGTCCGCACTGGAAACAGGCTTTTGAATTACTTCTGCAATCAGCGTCAGGAATCTGGCTGTCATTAGAGCAGAAGTGACACGTGTGCTGGTATCCGGCATGTGGTGTTTCTTATTTGAATGGCATCCATATGGAGACGTCCAAATGATCTGCAAGATTTGCATTCTGTAGCCGAGTTAATATGCAAATGTTATGCAGTGCTGTTTGTAATAGAAAATGTTTTCATAGCGTAAATATTTTATTACAAACTCCGACAGATATGTGACCCTGGACCACAAAACCAGTCATAAGTGTCAATTTTTTTTATTTTTTGAAATTGAGATTTATACATCATCTGATGTATCCATTGATGTATGGTTTGTTAGGATAGGACAATATTTGGCTGAGATACAACTATTTGAAAATCTGGAATCTGAGGGTGCAAAAAAATCTAAATATTGAGAAAATCATCTTTAAAGTTGTTCAAATGAAGTTCTTAGCAATGCATATTACTAATCAAACATTAAGTTTTGATATATTTACGGTAGGAAATTTACAAAATATCTTCATGGAACATGATCTTTACTTAATATCCTAATGATTTTTGGCATAAAAGAAAAATCTATAATTGTGACCCATACAGTGTATTGTTGGCTATTGCTACAAATACACCCGAGCGACTTAAGACTGATTTTGTGCTCCAGGGTCACATATAGTCCTGAATTAACACCTTCAAAAGTTTTAGGGTCAGTTTTGCTAAACAGGGCAAATTAGTGTTGTGCGATTTTGGCCTCAATTTGGTCATCTGAGACAAATTTTGAAAATACTGAAAGATTCCTATAATCCTAGACTAAAATCTGTAGTCTTTGATCTCTGGTTTGACATGTTCACCGAATGCTTGCCTTTGCAATCAAATTTGACCTCCGACGGGTCCAAGGCCGAGTCAGACTACGCTATTACACTATTCTTCTTAAATACGCTGCTATCGCCACCATTCATATACTTTTCATGATAGCCAACAACATTTCAGCCTCGCATGTAATGCAGCTCGCAGTCACTGAACATGTACTGTATGGGTTGATAATGTAAAACTCCGGACAAGTTTTCTTGCACGCACCAATTTTTAATGCGTCTTGACTGTCGTCCAGTCTGACATTAAAGGGTTAGTTCACCCAAAATGAAAATTTGTCATTAATTACTCACCCTCATGTCGTTCCAAACCCGTAAAAGCTTTGTTCATCTTCGGAACGCAAATTAAGATATTTTTATGAAATACGAGAGCTCTCTGACCCTCCCATAGACAGCAATGTAAGTAACACGATCAACGTCCAGAGACGTAGCAAGGACATCGGTAAAATAATTCATGTGACATCAGGGGTTCAACCGTAATTTTATGAAGCTACGAGAATACTTTTTGTGCGCAAAAGAAAACAAAAATAACGACTTTATTCAACAATTCGTCTTCTCCACGTCACCCTATAGCACCATTCTGGAGAGTAAATAAACGTAGAAAACGTATCCGCCACAGCTGACACAAAACAGCATACGCTGTTTACATTCAGTTGATATTCTCCAAAATGGCGCTATAGGGTGACATGGAGAAGACGAATTGTTGAATAAAGTCGTTATTTTTGTTTTCTTTTGCACCCAAAAAGTATTTTCGTAGCTTCATAAAATTACGGTTGAACCCCTGATGTCACATGAATTATTTTACCGGTCTCCTTGCTACGTCTCTGGACGTTGATCGTGTTACTTACATTGCTGTCTATGGGAGGGTCAGAGAGCTCTCGGAATGCGTCCAAAATATCTTAATTTGTGTTCCGAATTTTGGGGTGGAGTAACCCTTTAAAGTCTTGAACAGGTTTCCTTCTGTCGTTCTGCAGGAATCGCTCTGTTCCTCTGCACGTCTGCCGACGGGACCTGGAGTCCCAAAGGTCCTGATCTCAGTAACTGCACATCCCACTGGGTGACACAGGTGGCACAGAAGGTGAGTCAGAAATAGCCGCTATAATGTAAATATAATTTCTGTAGCACTTCTCACATTGTTGCAAAGCAGCTTTACTGAAAATCATCATGTTAATGTTTCTAGTTCATGCCCTATAGTCGCATTTAGCAGATTAGAGCCGAGCGATCATGTACTGTTGGTGCATTTTGCAAACAACAACAAAAAGTCATGCAGTTAAAATTTACTCTATAGTGTATATTGCATGAGTGTACTGTATGTATGCAAATAATGTTGTATATATATTTGAATGATTAACAATCACACTGCTGAGATTTGTATAGTAGGTTTGGAATTATTAAAATAACAGAATTTCTTCAAAAACATAAAAAAATCATTATTGCAGTCTGTAGTGTATAGTTCTGTGCACGAGTATACTGTAAGTTTGCAGGTAAAGCAAGATGCACTATATATTCAACTTTTAATTTGTCACATAATTCTGATATGATGTGATGCAGTGTAATAATAGCAAAATAGACAGACATACAAATTCTAAAATCTCACACGCACACACACACACACACACACTATTTTCCACATGGTATTTACACATTTACAAACCAAAAAGTAATGAAGAAAATTGTGTAATACAAAGAGGAACTAACACTTGATTGATGATTATCTGGCAAGCATGAAACTGATATATTTTGGTCTATTAATACTCAAAATTAAAATGTACATTTACAAGGCAGGAGATGGGTTTTTGATACAATAGTGAGCAAAAAAAGTCACTTACACATTGTACATGGAAAAATGTTCTCTGAGCTGATATACAGGTCTATTAGTATGAATTGAGTTGGATGTTTAGGGTTGATTTTGGCTCCTCTTCCAGATCCGGAGTGGTGAGAACGCTGCGAATCTGGCGAACGAGCTGGCGCGTCACACTCAGGGTCCCGTGTACGCGGGCGACGTCAGCTCCTCTGTGCGGCTCATGGAGCAGCTGGTGGATATACTGGACGCTCAGCTGCAGGAGCTCAAACCCAACGATAAAGACACGGCCGGACGGAGCTTCAACAAGGTACAGTACACTGCATGTCCGGCTACAGCGACTGTGATTTATCAATGTTGTTTCGTTTGATTTGATAAAGTCTGAGTCCTAAAAAAGTCCTAAAAACGTCAGCAGTTCTGGTTTGACAATCTTTTCAGGAGATGTTTTTATCATGGCAAATTCAGTGACCAGCAAAAGTTCATTTATGCTTTAAAACTTTAACAAAGTTGATTAGTGAGAGAATATCAGTCCCTGTTGTTAGTTTCTTATTTTAAAACAAGCCTTTAGAGCATTGCCACCTAGGCTTATAATGCAATTTATTATTTAATTTAATTGAATTTAGTTAAGTTAAGTTATTCTCTGCATGGTAGAATATAGTTTTGTATATTGATTTATATTAAGTGTTTATATAGAATATAGATTTTTCAAGATACCAAAGCCTTCAATCAAATATCAGGCAAATATCAGGCTCTCTGCACATTACACATCTTGCCAAGATCAAATTATCTGAATTATGTACTATCCACACTTCTTGTATAGTTCTGTACTATTACTGGATGTCAGAAAACCTGTTACTTTATGTATAAAAGAGCAACCTTTGAGCAAAAACATTTTTCCTCATGTGGAAATTGTGGGGAGCAGATTTTAAACAGAGGTGAAATTCAGCATCATTGCATCATTCAGGCCCACAAAAACAGCTTGCCACAAAAATAACAGGGAAACAAAATATATATTTATATGTATGGATTATATGTAATGAAATATGTAGTTTCAAATGTAGTAAAGTGTGTAGTGTTAAAAATAAAGCTAAACATTTCTTAAATGTTACTTTCCTTATTGTAATCTTATAATATTACGACTTTAATCACATAATCATACTTGAACTTTATTGCTATGGTGGTATTCTTGTCATTGTATGACTGCTTTAATCTGGTAATGTTATAACTTCATCAAGTAAATTCTAGTAAAAGGCCTATTATGAAAATGAAATCACTATAAATATGAAACTTTGTTCTCAAAATCTTCTTCTTCCTTCTTCTTCTGGCAGCTGCCGTTGAGTTTAATGGATTTTCTGGCTTCATTTGAAAGCATGCTCTAACGTTTCCATCTCTATATTTCCCTCCTCAGCCAGTGCCTTATAGAAGAGAGATGCACATTCAAAGACATGTTTAATTGAAATGGGGTTAATGGACGTGCTCTACAGTGTCCTTTTATACTCTGTATGACCTCGGCTTTGAATATATACTGATATTTCTTCAGCTATAGGCACTTTTTGCGCTGTGGACTTTCAGAAATGAAGAACAAGCTTTTCCAGCTCAGTAATAGGTTATGTAAGTTGTCTACTAACAATGACAAGAGAACGATACGTGGAAACATATTTCTCTCTGTAAAGGTCAGTTTCATAATCTGCATTCTATGTATTCTAACAGTAAGTAATATTTTGACACCTTTTGTTTACAATTGCAGCTTTACAGAAATCGCATCCAAAAAAAATTTCTGTTCACATGGTTATATTATATATGCACGTATTATATTTTATCTTATGCATACAATTCCAAATTTACATTTTTAAATGGAAAACAAAAACAGATTTAATGTGCCATACAAGGAAGAAAACACAAACATAACATAAAAGTCACTGGAACATAAAAGTGCCCGTAGTTGAAGCAGCACACATACATGATATGACTGACACATAGGCTCTTATTTGTTCTCTTTCTCTTTTCTTCTCTCTCTCTCTCTCTCTTTCTGTGTGTGTGTTGTTCCTAATCTTCCGTCTTTGTGTTTGAAACCAAAAAAAACAAAAAAACAAAGCGTCAAAAAAGAGAGAGGACTTGCAGGGCCTATATGAAGGTATATATGGACACAATCCCAGAATCCCCTTCTGCTGCATGCAGCTTGTTTGTCTGGCTGGAAGTCCATCTGTCTGTTGTCGTGCTGAGTCTGTCTTTCTGCTGATACGCGACTCTCTTTTAGGGCAGTTCTGCCTCGGTGTCTTTCTGTTCTGTTTTGTGTTGCTTTTACTGTCCTCCTCTTTCCTGTTCACCTCCCCCTTACCGCTTGTCTGTCTTAAAGCAGTAGTTCACCCAAAAGTGAAAGTTTGCTGAAAATGTGCTCACCTTCAGGCCATCCGAGATGTAGGTGAGTTTGTTTCTTCATCAGATTTGGAGAAATGTAGCATTGCATCCTCTGCAGTGAATGGGTGCCGTCAGAATGAGAGTCCAAACAGCTGATAAAAACATCACAATAATCTAATCTAAAATCTAAATGTGCTGAAAATGTGCTCACCTTCAGGCCATCCGAGATGTAGGTGAGTTTGTTTCTTCATCAGATTTGGAGAAATGTAGCATTGCATCCTCTGCAGTGAATGGGTGCCGTCAGAATGAGAGTCCAAACAGCTGATAAAAACATCACAATAATCCACAAGTAACGCACAGCACTCCAGTCCATCAGTTAACATCTGGAGAAGACAAAAGCTGCGTGTTTGTAAGAAACAAATCCATAATTAAAGCATTTTTAACTTTAAACCATAGCTTTTGGCTAAAATACGACTCCATAAATACAAGTAATTACATAAAATAACAAGTGAAAAAGTCGCCTGGTCTGAATCAGGAGAGAAATCAGCACAGATCAAGCACTGCTTACAAGCCAAAACAGCTCTGAACAAATATGTGTGTGGATTTTGATGTGAGAGAGAACAGGAGATGGACTTTATCACTGGAGGAAGCGTTATTATGGATTATGGAGTCGTATTTTAGCCAGAAGCAGCAGTTTGAAGTTAAAACGTCTTGATGGATTTGTTTCTGACAAACACGCAGCTTTTGTCTTCTCCAGATGTGAACTGAGTGGATTACTTGTGGATTATTGTGATGTTTTTATCAGCTGTTTGGACTCTCATTCTGACGGCACCCATTCACTGCAGAGGATGCATTGCTACATTTCTGCAAATCTGATGAAGAAACAAACTCTTCTACGTCTTGGATGACCTGAGGGTGAGCACATTTTCAGCCAATTTAGATTCTTGGGTGAACTATTTCTTTAGCTGCACACTCTGCTTTCCTGTTGATTGGGAGTCACTGTATTTCTGGCTGGTTTCTGCTCATCTTTCTGTCTGCTGTTGTTCTTTGTCTGAGTAATTGACATCCTGCAGTCGTGATCGCTGGGGTCTGTCAGCTGATCCTGTGATCAAAGTGGATTTGCGCTGTCTTCCTCACCTGCTTCAGTCTGAGCCGTTCACGCTGCGGTTTTGTTGCATTTCTTTGTAATCTTTTATGCATATCTCTGCTGTTGTGTTTTCATTCTTTTAATACATATTTCAGTCAGTTACTCAAAGCTGCACTTGTGAAAGAATAATGCCACTTTATTGTTTTTTTTCTTTCATGTGCTGATGTATTTTTCCTTTTGAAACAGGAAGTTGGAGTGGGTCATACTGAAACAACCAATAGGCTTTAGTTTTTGTGGACTATGATTGGCTGGTATGAGAACATTTTATTGACGAGTCAGCGGTATCTTCAGTCAAATTTGGTCAACTTTTTAGTTACAAATTGAGCTTTGCTTCATCTGTCACTCAGGACTGTGTTTAGGTGTGGTCCATGTGATGAGTTTTGATTTAGGTTTTGGGTTTGGGATCTGACAAGGCTATTAAAGAACATTTGCTGTCAGTTATTTCACTCACAGTACAGTTTTCCAGGACACACTGAAAATAAGGGTTTACTTTGAAAGCATTTTGCACAGAAATTGCTAGTAAATTCCATAAATAGTTACAAAGACACGGCGACATTGAATTAAATTGGATTTTTTTCCCGTGCATCTTAATTCACACTTCCACAATTAAAGGCCTTAAAAAGGTCAAAAAAAATTTGAGTAAAAAGTCTTCAATTCATAAAATCATTGCTTTAAATGTTGCGTGCATTGCAAAAAAAGGTATTCCTCAGTGTTTTCTACGGTGGCCGAGAAGTGCAAAACAAATCACAATTCTGAAAACAAAATAACTAATTACAAACGCAAATGCAAGTCTAAAAAACAAAAATAACAATTCAGAAAACATTATAACAAGTCAGAAAACACAACGACAAATCTGAAAACACTTCTCGGCCACCGTAGTTTTCCAATATAATTACCTAAACACCTTTAATGCAGAAGTAACACCTGAAATGCAAATCTAAATTCTTGAAAAAACGGAATAAAATTAAGTGAGTTCATGTTTAAAATAAAAACAAATATCTGTCAATTGGGTATGAAAACTTCTCTTTGAATTAAGGTTATTTTTTTGAGCCCACTGGCAGATATTTGTTCTTGTTTTAATCATAAACTCAGATTAAAAAAAAAGATGTGTCAAGAATCTTTAGACATTTGAACCTCAAAACAGGACAAAATTACTAAGAATGAACATCACTTGTACTTTCAAACTTGAACATGACACTAGAACATGAATGTATCGTGTTCTCTTCAGTTTATTCCTTAAACTTTCTTTAATTGGTCTAAAAAAGGTCTAAAAACCTGCAGAAACCCGATGAAATTTTGAAGTGGAAAGACTGTTTAAGTGTTTTAGGTGGAAGGTGTTTAATGTTTGTTTTATGGACAAATAATAATTTTTTTACAAAGCAGATGCTTTTGACTTACTGTAGTGTAATTGCAGGGGAATCTCACTGGAGTAATCATGGGTTTTATTATCTTCTTTTTCGTTTAGCAACATAACATTTAAAAAAATTACATTTAAAAATAAATATTAAATTATTTAAAATATTTAAAGTTGAATTTATTTCCAAGAAAAGTATTAAACATGCATTTAAAAAAAAAATCTTTGCAATGCTATGCAAACAAAAACTTGAGGAAAAATTAAAAAATGGGCCACATTTATGATGTATGGACAGAATTATTTTTTGTGTAAATAATAAAAATCATTCTTACACAAATTAATGCTTTGAACTAAATGTTACAGCGTATATAAGAATGGCTTTAAACAAATGATCTACACTGAAATCTGTTTTATTCATGAAATGTGTTTGAGGCTTTTAAATAATGAGCAAAAGAACGTTTTTGATAATGCTTATCCTGCATCAGACTTGATGCACACATTTCTAAGGCCTCTATAATATCAACATAATCAAATCTTTGCTGATAAACCTGTCACACAATCTACTGCAGGAAATTTAATATGACAATCAAGTAGATTGTGCAGATTGCAGTTATGTCCAGCAGTGAAGGCAGTTTTTGTAAGCAGAGAAACGTGATCTTTGGAGAACTACAGACACTGTTTAGAAATGATGAATAATTGCTAACGGAACTGCATAAGAACTAGTGTTGGGTTCGAGTCCGAGTCCAGTGAAACTCTACTGTTTGTCAGTATCTTAACCTTGTTTTAACCTTTACAACTAGAAAAAGGCAATGTCAGTTTAATGTAACAAACGCAGACCTCTATTGCATCTTGCCATTTCGATTTTTGCTTTTAAATCATCTCTTAATTAGTGTCCTGCTCCGCAAACTTAAAGTCATGCAACAGAAGTTATGGCTGACTCTGTTTATGTATTGTGACTTATTTCAGATTTTTTAAATGTGAGATGTTATAGAACGGGACTTGACTTTATTCATTGTTACAGTAAATGTATAAATGCAAGGGTGGGGTTGGGGGATTGTGACTGGGGTAGCTTGGTGGACCTGAAGAGCAGAAAATGCACCTCGTATCTCTGATTGTGTTTTTGGTTTTATATGAGTCAGGGTAGACAGCATTTAGAATTTTTTCTTGCATCAAAATGAGGCTGTGAGGGATAAACTAGTGTATAAAACTATGTATAAAAGCCCTACATGTGCTTTCCACAGCCAACTCACACCTGTTTTATTTTTGAATGCATTTATAGATAGTAAATTTCATTATGTAAGGAATAATTGACGACGGCCCGTTAAACTATTAGAAAAGAATGCAGGTGTTTTTGGACCCATAAAAACTATTGCTGCAAAGAGTTATTTAAAAAAAAAATTCTTTAAAGTAGTGCAGTCAAACGATTAATCGCGATTAATCGCATCCACAATAAAAGTTTTTGTTTACATAATATACTGTATGTGTGTACACTGTCTATATTTATTATGTGTATATATAAATACAAACACATGCATGTATATATTTAAGAAAAATATGTTGTTTATATATTAAATATAATTATATATAATATAAAATATGAGAATATAAATGTATATACATAAATATTAGTAAAATATATACTGTATGCATGTGTATTTATATATGCGTAATAAATATACACAGCACACATTAATTAACTTTAATTTTGGATGCGATTAATCGCGATTAATCGTTTGACGGCAATTCTTTGAAGCTAGAAGCTGCCACAGTGATTAAAAATAATAATAATTTCAAAACAACAGCAAAAACGAATACTAAACTAATGAAAGTAAAACATTCTCAAGCTTACTGAAGGCAAGTAAACAGTCTAATTATTAATTACAAGCAAAAGGATAAATAAATATATTCATCAAAAATAAATACATGAAATAGTTTTTCAGCTAGGTCTATACAGGCTACTACAGAATTAGCCTGCTGCAGACATTTAATGAATTAAATGTAAAAATAAAACACTGCACAGTCTTTACTGTATGCATTAAATATAAATGATTCTTATTAAAGTTACTAAACTGATTTAGTCAAGAGCAATGAGTGATTTTCTCCTTTTCTTTTGTTTGTTTGTTGTTTGATTAACATTTATGACACAGTCAGCAGCAGCAGGTTTGCGCTGCTGTCACTTTAAGACCTGATGCACAGATTAAATGTTTTGACACATCTGTATTTCTCTCAACAGTTCAGGTTCACTTAAGAAAAAAACTGACTGTATTTATGTGAATAGTCTCCAAGATGGGCATTTTGACAACTTTTCGTGTAAGTGTGTAGCAATAACATGCACAATGGAATTTAATTCAGCATTTGCACGCTGACTGACAGGCGCTTTCTCTGTGTGAGCACAGAAACCCATCAGCTTTCAAGTACTGGACAAGACTTAAAAACACATGCGGAAACTGAAATCACTTTCGTGATAATGCATCGAGTCAGTGACATTTCTGAGTCCTCTAAAAAAAAATTGTACTCGAGAACCGGACTCGAGTCAGAGTACCCCAACTCTAATAACAACCACAAAAATGTGTTTGCAATCCTGACGATCTCTGATGAAAGGTGGCAGAAACACACCCAACACGTATTTTTGCAGGAATTACACTAGTTGTACAGTGCTTCATTTCCCATTATAGTTGTCTCGTGTCACAGGTCTCATTTGGTTCTCCTCTCTCCAGTGTATTCCATGTGCTGGATCCTTTTTATTTTCCAGGGAAAGCAAAGGAAAAATATCAACCGCCTGTCATTTCTCTTGTTTCCATGGTTACAGGCCATTGTGGACACGGTTGACAACCTCCTGAGGCCAGAAGCCCTTAAATCCTGGGAGGACATGAATTCCACAGAGCAAACCCATGCTGCTACTATGTTACTCGATACCCTGGAGGAAGGAGCCTTTGTCCTTGCAGACAACCTGATCGAGCCTGCAGTCGTCAGAGTGCCTGCCGAGAACATCAGTAAGTGCTTTCATCTTAGCCGGCAACTTTTGATGTAAATGATGAAGGTTCGATTCGAGCCACGTGTCTGACCTGCCGCTTATGACTGATGGAGTTTTCCAGGAGTAATGTGCGTGTATGAAAACCAAAGCAGAAAGAAACCGAACTGGCAAGAATGCTCGGAAGAGGTAGAAAGGTCAGTTCACACAAATTCAAACCAATGCCAGAATAATGGACTAGTTCACCCAAAAACTTAAGTTTGCTGAACATTTACTCATCCTCGGGCCATCCAAGATGTAGATGAGTTTGTTTCTTCATCCGAGCATTGCATCACTTGCTCATCAATGGATGCTCTGCAGTGAATGGGTGCCGTCAGAATGAGAGTCCAAACAGCTGATAAAAATATCACACCACTCCAGTCCATCAGTTAACATCTGGAGAAGACAAAAGCTGCGTGTTTGTAAGAAAGAAATCCATCATTACACATGTTTAACTCTCTATCCATAACATTGCTTCCTCCAGTGAAAAAGTCGCCTGGTCTGAATCAGGAGAGAAATCTGCACAGATCAAGCACTGCTTACAAGCCAAAACAGCTCTGAACAAATATGTGTGTGGATTTTGATGTGAGAGAGAACAGGAGATGGACTTTATCACTGGAGGAAGCGTTATTATGGATTATGGAGTCGTATTTTAGCCAGAAGCAACGGTTTGAAGTTAAAACGCCTTGATGGATTTGTTTCTTACAAACATGCAGCTTTTGTCTTCTCCAGATGTTAACTGAGTGGATTACTTGTGGATTATTGTGATGTTTTTATCAGCTGTTTGGACTCTCATTCTGACGGCACCCATTCACTGCAGAGCATCCATTGCTCAGCAAGTGATGGAATGTGATAGAAACGTTTGTGGTATAAAAGCCATGCTTTGTACAGTTAGGTTTAGCTTCTTTATCTTACATATTTTACATTTATAGCAAGCACTGATTCTCACTGATTTTAGCTAAAACATACATGAGAAAAAAAGATATATATTTTGAAGAAAAACATCAATTTATGCACTAATTAGAATGTGTAAAACATGCTGTCATTGCACTTTTTCCATAAAAACGACAGTTAAAAATTACATGTTGATTACTGACTAAACTTATAAGAGATTTTCAATAAAGACAATCTAACAGCTTTGTGAAATGATCACTGGAACTGCCCTGAGAGTTTAGGTGAAGAAATGCATTTTTTCTTTGGAATAATAAATACACTTTGACACTGTGCTGTTGGGTTTATATTTATTATTGCACCCACTTGTGGGCCGTTGATTGAAAAATCTGATGTCCGCTGATCTCTTCCTATAACTGAAATAATGCCTTTGGAGATTTGGAAATATTTAAGTGAAAACAATAATTATTTTCAGCTTTGTTGACAGTCGTGCTGCTTTGACATTGTGGTAAAAGTAGGACATTTGGCAAATGGATGTAGTCTTTTGCACATTGCTGCAGTGCGGCTGGAAGAGTTAAGTATTTGAAATATTCAGCTGCAGATCCTCAGCGGTAACGAAATAGTATAGAGAGCAGATCAATTATTAATTAATCAGGCAACTCGCATATAAGACAGTATGCAAATCCAACACACTGAAGCAGCAGAAGAACTTCAGCAGGTCTTGCATTAGCAGATCCGCTCCAGTTACTGTTTCATGTACCTTCTTCAGCGCTGAGCTTTTAAGTGTAATTATGTATGAATTGAAACTGCACTGGATTTTTTTTTTCTGACTTTCTGTGCCCATCTACATCTGGAGACCTCTGCAACAGTGTGTTATTCAATCAATAGATGTTCTTGCCTCATAAAAAGGCATTTTGTCTCTTATAATTTTGTACGTGCCTAGATGATGAAGGTTATAGTGGGTTTATTGAATAAACTGTTCATCAGACGTGTTATCATAACTAAGCAAGGTCTCAATGAATTTGTGTTTGTGGGCAGTTTGACTGATAACAGTGCTTTAAATGAGAGTAACCAACACTGCTTTTGCTGCCACACACGTCCATCTCTGCAGATATTAGCTTTCCTGTGGAAAGAGAAGAAAAGACAAAGCGACCCTACGCTGCTTAATTTAGAGAACCTTTCCCGGCAGATTCGATCTGGGCTCGAGAAATCATTGTGCTGATTGCTATTTACAGCCACAGATATGAGAATCTCCCAGGCAGTGAATAATGCAGGAATCTGAGCCGTTGACGGCTGTACAAGAGTTTACAGCGAACGAGTCAAATCTCAGGTTGCATTTGTCAGGTTGATTTCAGGCTGAATGTAGCAATCTGCCCTTCTTGAGTTTGCTAACCAGGCTTTATACAGTTCACAACCTATAAAAAATCCACCGATTTAGTTTTTCTATCTTTCCTTTTAATAGGAGACTCTGACTTAAGTTGAGCGAAATGCTATTTTAAAATCAAGTCTTGTACAAATTGATGACGTGCAGGTAAGTGTGGATTTAGGATGCGCAGTTTGGTTTTAAAAAGTTTAGATTTGCATGTGCAATTTGTGAAATATGTTGGGTGTAGGCAAATGGACTGAACTTGTATGTCTGGAGGAGACTATTGTGAGTAAGGTTACTCGAAATCGATTACTTTTTATTATTATATTCTAAATACCAAAGCGGTTGATTTGTAAAACAGAAGGCAGTTTTCATTTTAGAGTCACCGACAATTAGAATGACTACATAAGTGAAAAGCATTTGTAAAGGAAGTGCTTTTAGGCATCAGGAGTGGAATCCATAGCGTAATCAAAAATGTTATGATTTAGATACAGCTGTTGTCTCGGGTGCATGTAAATAGGTGGATATTGTTCAGTTCTGCAATTTTTCATGTATGCATTCATCACTGTGAAAGGGCTGAAACCAAATCGACTTCGCTCCGGTCTCAGCATGTGGCGACTTTAACCATTCAGATGCTGAGAGGGTCCAGCCCAGGCCCCTGCCAGTGGAATTTATTAGTAATGTGATCTCATTCATATAAGACAGCTTTGTGCGCTCATCTGTCATTTCACTGTACAGGCCTCTGGGTTACTGCAGGCTTTTTCCTTTTAACCTTGGCTCAGTGCTTTTTGACTCCCTTTATTTTCTTCTCAATCCTTTTGTGTAGCTATGTTTTGTTGTTCTCAGCCATATAAAAATGTGGCCATGAAACCCATGAAAATGTAGATGCTGTTGTAAATAATAGTGAAAATCACTTTTTAAACTGTTTTTCCATTATGACCTCTTAGCTGATTTTAACCCAAATACACTGAAAGCAAATAGGGATGCAGTCTGTAACGCTTTATCGCTCGGATCTCTTGCTTTCACATCAAAAGGGAAATGAATGTCAGAAATCATAACAGTCAATGCAGCATCTGTAGGAAAGGAAGTCTCATCTTTCAGTTAAAAGCGCCAATTTTAGTATAGGTAATGAAGACGCTTTTCTCTTTTTTTTTAAAGGCACAAGTTAATTTTCTTGAGAAAAATGTTCATTGTTAAAGAGAAAATATTTTCTGCTTGCATTAGACAATACACCTTTTTGTTCTCTGCCTCTCATTTGAAAATGATATGATGCGGTACAAATGCAGAGTTTGTTGGCCCGAGGTGCATTAGAAAACTTTGAAACCATCTTTTATATGTGCACAATGTCTCGTTTTAATTAAATTACCTCGCATTGGCTTAATGAAACAGTCCTTCATTTCCATCTGGCAGAAGAATGTGAGAACCTGAATGTGAGAAGCCATGTATGCAACTGCCATTGTCTCGTGTTTTGTTTAAAAAGACACCAAATGACACATGGGAATCCATATCTTTCTGCTTTTCTTTCTTCATTCAGTGTTGGACGTGTACGTGTTGAGCACCGATGGCCAAATTCAGGACTTCAGGTTTCCACAGAGCAGCAAAAGAGGAGCCACGATTCAGCTTTCAGCAAACATGGTCAAACTAAACAGTAAAAACGGTAAATAAAAGCAAGGTTATAGTCATTTCAAATGCTTTAATGCAAGGCCTTCAGATGCTTAGTTAATGAAGTCAATGGTTTTCCTGATCTGCAGGACATAAACACTCTGCACAAGTACTTAGTCAGTGCATTGCAAGCTTTACATACATTACATGCTTTCTTGCATTTCTGTAGCTGTAGCAAATGTCAGTACTCAAGGACAGCATTGAATATTCTTCCACATGATGTTATTCTGGTTGCTAGCAAAAACATGCTTGTAAGAGCTAAAGTGCTCATCAATGTTCTCTTCAATCTGTTGTTCCACTTTGACAGTTGTTAACCTGGAAGAGAAAGTTCAAAATAAGAAAAATATATAGATATTTTATGACCCTAAGGCTGTTTAAAGATAATATCAGTTTATTTTTCTATCGAAATCCAGTAAGTACTAATGGTGTTCTCCTATCATCTATTTACTCAAGGTGTTGAGTACAGTTCCAACTGAATGCATGTTTTGTTTGCATGTCTTGGTAATGTATGTTGCATTCAAATAGCTCAGGAATATTTCTTCTTATTGGTTGATAATTTACTGTATGCTGTTTAATTTTGGTTGGTCCGTAATGATCACTGTGTTCCCATTGGTCAGACTTCATTCGTAGGGTGAAACTTCTTCCATTTAATAATTATTGAGGCTACTGTCCTCTTGGAAACTGTCAATACAGCAGATGTTTTTGTGACCTTCACCAGATCTGTACCTAGACACAACCCAGTCTCTGAGCTCTGCAGGCATTTTCTTTGACCTTATGGCTTGGTGTAATTTAATTGCCATATTTTCATCGTGTTGTGGTTCTTTGCGATGGGTTGAATTGTCTATAGTTTTTTCAGTACAGTTCCAACTGAATGCATGTTTTGTTTGCATGTCTTGGTAATGTATGTTGCATTCAAATAGCTCAGTAATATTTCTTCTTATTGGTTGATAATTTACTGTACGCTGTTTAATTTTGGTTGGTCCGTAATGATCACTGTGTTCCCATTGGTCAGACTTCATTCGTAGGGTGAAACTTCTTCCATTTAATAATTATTGAGGCTACTGTGCTCTTGGAAACCGTCAATACAGCAGATGTTTTTGTGACCTTCACCAGATCTGTACATAGACACAACCCAGTCTCTGAGCTCTGCAGGCATTTTCTTTGACCTTATGGCTTGGTTTTTGCTCTAATATCCTGATTTGCAGCTGTTAGACCTTATATAGACTGGTGTGGTAAGCTGCACCGAGTCAAAATTGCATTGTTGAGGGGAAAAAACACACACTGATAAATCACATGGGTTGTATAGTTATATTGTATACAAAACAAGAATGAAGAATATGAGTATGAAATAAACAAATTAGAGTGGCATTCATTACAAACATCATTTATTACAAACACAAAGCGAACAGAATAACCGGTGTGTGGGAAGTGCGCTAAATAAACTTCACATGCCTTACCTTGCCTAAGAAAAACAAACCATTAAAGTTGAATGGGAGGAGATCCACAAGAAAACATTTCTGTACAAACGCTCAGACCATTCATGTCTAATTCACAGACAAACTAGAAAAACATAATGATTTCTGCCATTTTAACAAGTACAAATATATCTGGTCTACTGTGTTTTTCTCTGTAGCCATATTGGATGTGAAAATAAGAATTAAAAGTGAATGAAAAGAGGAAGATAAACGTTTATCTGAACAAGTCCCATGTGACTGAAACAAGAGATATACTATGTAGTCCAGGGGAATAACCCTAAATCAAATGTTGCCATATTTGCAAAGTGACATTTTGTTGCTGAACTATTATTTCTTTTGGAAACATGGCTTTTAATTGCATTGTAAAAGCCATATTCTTCAGTAAGTAAACAGCTTTGGATAAGTCAAATAGAAGTAGCGAACAAGTCTAAAGTACTGCCAAATGCAAAGTATATATAGATTTAAACAAATCATTTGCAATTGTTCAAAATGTGATTTTCTTTTTTCTTTCTTGCTTGCTTTTAGTCTTCATCTCCCCCAGTCCTGCTCTTTCTGTAATTCTTTCTGTTTTAGAGCAGGCGCTCCTTATTTGAAAGGCTCTGAAAAATTGAGTTGAATTCTTTGGTGTTTACATGTGGTTTGTGTTGATGATCGACGGAGCAAAGAATTCAGTGCCTTTCTTTTCAAAAGGCATATTCTTTTTTCTCTCTCTAGCTGCATTCTGTATATACAGTGTGTGTGTGCCTCCAAGAAATAAACCAGATGTGTGTTTTTCATTCTCTTGTATGCAAAGCTAAATGTACTCACTTATTTGTAATGTAGGTTTTCTCATTTTGGATTGAAGTCAAACACAATATACTAATCTAACAACATGTGCTTTACATTTTCAATATGTGACCCACATTTTGGAATAAAACATAGTTTCAAAAAAATATAGTTTCAAAATAGTTCTCCACTTACTTTTATGCCATTTTAGACTTGTGTTTTTGAGAAGTAAACTGTGTAGCGAGAGCTTCTAAAATCAGGATATTGTTATAATATGTGACCCTGGAGTACAAAAGCAGTGTTAAGTCGCTGGGGTATATTTGTAGCAATAGCCAACAATACATTGTATGGGTCACAATGATCGATTTTTGTAAATTTCTTACCATAAATATATTAAAATGTAATTTTTGATTGGTAATATGCATTGCTAAGAACTTAATTTGAACAACTTTAAAGGCGATTTTCTCAATATTTCGATTTTTTTGCACACTCAAATAGTTGTATCTCGGCCAAATATTGTCCGATCCTAACAAACCATACATCAATGGAAAGATTATTTATTCAGCTTTCAGATAATGCATACATCTCAATTTTGAAAAATTGACCCTTATGACTGGTTTTGTGGTCCAGGGTCACAAATATAGGGGGAAATTTGGAAAGTCTGGGGACAAAGTAACTTTCTTGCTCCACATATTTAATATAGACGATACTCATTTTTTATTTCCTGAAGTATGTTTCTGTAAAAGGTCTTCTCTGCTCAGCCTGAATTACATTCCCATGTTCAGGGCGCTGAAGAAAAACACAAGCTCTTGCCAGCAAGCAGACATTTTCAGGGCCAAAGTTATGACTTACACTCGTCTGAGAAGGCGCCTACGCGCAGTTTGTCTCCGATAATCTTTAAGATCAGAGTTAGGAACAAATGGTAGCACTTTGTTTTCTGGGTGATAGTTTATGTCTCGAGAAATATCAACGTTCTTACAAGCTTCTGTACTGACTTGAATCACGTCTTCATCCAAAATCTATTTTAATTGTCATGCTAAGAATGATTAAAAATAGAAAATTGTCAAGACCTTTTCAAATGGTCCATGCATAAAAACCATAGTTTATGAGATGTCTTGGAAAATCCCAGCAGAGTTCATGCATTCTTGCATTTTGACGTTGCTGTCTGCTTTTTGAATTATTGAAGGCTATGCTTTGTAGTTCAGATCAGCCAACATAAAAGGTGCTTTATTTTTATTTTTCAATTCCACTGATAGCCGTCTAATAGCCTGGTGATCACAGATCCCAAGAAAGATCATCGCACGGTGCTCTTAAGAATGTGAATGTAAATATGAAATGATGTTTGACAAATATGCCATTTATATGAGCATCATTTCCAAGAGCTGTGGGAAAGCTGTGTGGTCTTCTCAACATGCTTTATCTTTTCCGACAGCTCAATCTCATCTTTCTGGTGGTGACTATGTACAAGATGGTAAAGCACTCAATGTCTATGAAACCTGATTCCAGCCGACTGGAGAGCATACGGTAAGCTCAGTCTTCAATACTGTCGTACACGCTTAGCAGCTGTGCAATTTTACGCTCTGACGTTTTCTTTTATGTTTAGAACTCAGCTATTTTGCTGTCGCAACTTATCATCCTGATTGCTTCATTCAAATTGTCAAGATGCTAATAACAACAGCGTGGCCGTTGTATTGTGGCTGAATGAACGGGTTCACGAGGTAGAGGTTGCATCTGGAGCTGGACGTGTAAATACTCAAATACAGCTAATTGGGGTTTATGGGAATAATTACAGAAAACATTAACTAATTCATTTGCTTCCTGCAATGTGAGAGCACAGTCTGACCCTCTTATAAACATTGTCCTTGGGAACTAAATGCATATTTCCAGATGGGCTGTACAATGGTATGATAAGCAAGATATTTTATTGGACCCAAAGTCGTAATTACTTTTAAACTTGCATCTGGGGGCTGTGAAATCTGCTCTTGTCATGTCCATTAGAAGGGATCGTCCGTTCAGGACATTTGATCCACAGAAATATTGGCTGGAATCTCTAATGGGAAAGAGTCCAGTGATACACGGCTGGGTGGTCTAATGGCTTGAATTGATAAAAGTATTTAGTGTTTTTTTCATTTGTGTTTGTGTATTGGGAGTAAAACATAGCACATGAATGCAATAGCCAATCAAAGACAATTAACCGAGTCACTGACGGAGAGGAAATAAGCTCAAAACCACTCAAATCAGCAGCGTTTTGCTCAGCATGACCTCACCGAATCAGTGCTGTCATTATAATCAACAATGATGTCAATGAGATTGAATAAATGCATAAAACAGCTATAAACTAATTCAGAAGCACACAAAGCTAATGCAATCTAACTTCTGTTAATTGACATTAAAGGGATAGCCTGGTTGGCCCATTTATTCACCCTCAAGTCGTTCCAAACCTGTATGAGTTTGTCTTTTGCGGAACACAAAAGATGATATTTTAAAGAACCCATTGACTTACATAGTATTATATTATATGCTATGAAAGTCATAAATGATAACAGAGACGTAAAAATGTATTTATTTATCATTAGAACCATTACGTCAGGCTTTGCTGAGAGTTTGGCGCTTATAAACAGATATTGTATGATATTGCTCACAAAAGCAACCCAGGCTGATTGGAAATATGTGCTTGTGCTGCACGGATGTTACGTACCTTATTGTGGCAGTTTCAAAGTGAAATATCCAGTGAGTGGCGTTAAAACACGCATTCAATTCGTGACCTTGGCACGCTTTTATTACGTTAGTGCAGGCACATATTGTGGTGTTTTTATTATGTTGCTTCTGGTACATTGTTCAGAATTCAAATGTGTGGTGAGTGTTGCTAAAAGATTAATGCTCTATCCCCACATGAAAAAATACTATAGTCATTTATAGTAAAGTGTTTTTGAACCATACTATAGTAACGTAGTTGAATTAATTTGTTGTGGTAATTCTATAGATGCTGTGGTAATATAGCAACTATAGGAATATGAACAACTGACTATTTCTACAATTATAGGCTATATTATACTACAGTGCACTAGTAAAAACTAAAGTACAGTATTTATTACAGTTTATCAGTTCACTATAGTTAATACTACAGTATGCTGTTGCATTCATTAACAAAGTGTTGTAAATACTATAATATATACAGTATAATACACTTTACTATAGTATGGTTCAAAAACACTATAGTATTTACTATAAATTACTATAGTATTTTTTCATGTTTGAAAATAACAAACCCTCTACGCCAAACCCTACCCGAGAGTGTTAACATTTACATTTAGTCATTTAGCAGACGCTTTTATCCAAAGCGAGGACAATCAAGACCAACAAAATAGCAATAATAAGCAAGTGCTATGACAAGTTAACGAAAGCAAAAGTGTTATAAAAATGCATTTGCACTATTCTCTTATACACAGGCTTCAGCTCACAAGTGCAGTATCGTATCGCCGAGGAGATCTACTGAATTAGAAAACCCATACATATTGAGCTGCATATGTGACACTAACGCATGTTAAAATCGTTTTGGTCATAACTTAATATTCTGCAAGGAACTGTGTGAAACTCTGGCCCTGTTAATCATACTTCGTGTGAAAAGGAATAAAAGTTGTCGGAGTTTTGCCGCCTCTAGTGTTCATTTAAACTGGAAACTGCAGCGATTCATACGTTTAGGTACGTTTTTGCAGAAATGTAGGTAGAGGCATGTATTTCCAATGAGCCTGGGTAGATAAAAGAAGGCTATGAAATGCATTTCTAACTGTAATCCTGTGGTTTTCAGGTCCTGGGTGTTTGGTGCTTTTGCACTGCTGTGTCTGGTTTGTCTGACGTGGTCGTTCGGCCTGTTTTTCTTAAACGACACTTCAGGAATCATGGCGTACCTCTTCACTAGCTTCAACACCTTACAAGGGCTGTTCATCTTCATCTTCCACTGTCTTCTGCAGAAGAAGGTAAACCCATGACATACTGAAGGAATCGGTTTGTCAGACGCCACTTTCTTTATTATTGATGGCCGCTGAATGTGTTAAGTATGGAAGCCCGTTTCCGCCACTAAATAAAAAATAAAACAAGGTAATTCTGACTTTATATCTCGCAATTCTGACTTTATAACTCACAATTCTGACTTTATAACTCACAATTCTGACTTTATAACTCACAATTGCGTGTTATAAAGTCAGAATTGCAAGATATGAACTCGCAATTCTGAGAAAAGAAGTCAGAATTGTGAGATAAAAAGTCGCAATTACCTTGTTTTATTTTTTATTCAGTGGCGGAAACGGGCTTCCATAGTTAAGTGTTGGCTCATAATGCATTTTCTGGCTGCAAAGTTTATTTGTAGTATTTAATTAAACTCAAATCCTTTGAGCTCATGCCCGATGATTTTGTTTTTGTCAACAAGTCAGAAGACAATTTCAAACCTTGTTTTAAAAGGTTATAACTCTTAAATATATGTTACATATTTTAATACATAATTATAAAAGATGAAAATCAACACAAAACAGTGTGTGCAGTCCAATTTTACTTCAGGCCCATCTGTGAGTGAAAGCTCATTTAATGTACATATAATTTAATTTTCATAAATAAAGTCGCTCACTTTCTCTTGCTCCAATTGAAAGTGATTCACAGTGAGACACAAAATTGGCCAGCTTTTGCTGGTGATTATTTATCATATGTATTTAATATGAATTATGAATATGAATGTTATTTATATTATACTTTTAATCAGAAGTCAGAAAGAGCTTTATTGCCAAGTATGTTTACACAAACAGAATGCATTACATGTGAGGAGTTAGGAGCTAGCTTTTCATTTAAATTAGTATATACATTAAAAAAATAACTTTTAAGGCCATTTAACACCTTACACAGTACGAAATGAATAAAATGAAATGCAAATAAAAAGATGCAAAAAAAAAACCTTTACAAATGTTACAATAAACTGGAGAAACAAGTTCGGGTCTCTCATTTCAGCAAAAACATAAAAAAAAACCTAAATGAAATAGAGAGGTGATATTCAACTAATATAAAGACAGTAACACTTTATTTAAGAACCCAAGTCTTACTATTAACTAGTTGCTTATTAGCATGCATATTACTAGCATATTGGCTGTTTATTAGTACTTGTAAAGCACATATTAATGCCTTATTCTGCATGACCATATCTTAGATCCCTTAATACCTAAACTTAACAACTACCTTGCTAACTATTAATAAGCAGCAAATTAGTTTATTGAGGCAAAAGTCATAGTTAATAGTTAATTAATAGTGAGACTTGGTTCTTAAAATAAAGTTTGACCTTAAAGGCAGCAGCAAAGATGCTAGTAAATAAAGTGAGATTAAATCCATAAAGTTTATTGGTATTACGTAACATCTTTAATTATTGCATGTGTGCATGAAGTTCTGTGTTTGTACTTCCTTCTGGGTCTTTATTCATTTCAAGGAATATTAAATCGTGTTTTTGTGCTTGTGAGATAAGCGAATGACATCTGTTGCAGAATCAGCATCTGTCTGTATTTTACCACGAGTCTAATCCAAATGAATCATTTAATCAACTCTCAGTTTTTTAAAAATCCGTTCTTATCTTAAGTGTAAATACAGGATGTCCACAAATGAATAAGATAAATTGTAAATCTCACACAAGGCAAAAGTATGAATATTTGAAGAACATTTCATGCAAACACCTTGCTAATAAAGGGTTATGCATGTAGTTCAAAGGGTTCATAATCTGCAAAAATTTTACTGGAGTAATTTTCGTGTTCATGCTCAGTGGCATTTTCAGTGTGCACAAAAGGCTCTGATATGTGACTAAAATATTATATCTAATATTACCGTCTAGCAATGTCATTGGCTGAAAGACTTCTAACGGGTAATCGATTCAATGCCTGATTAGAAAACATACACATTAGTTTTCTGATATGTCATATATACTGTATGTCTCCTACCCTTTCCTTTGCTGTGAATAGTGTATTGTTTGTGGCTGTTAACGGAGCTGCGGTTGGATTGTGTCTTCAGGTGCGTAAAGAGTACAGCAAGTGTTTGCGGCAGTCTCAGTGCTGTACTAGTCTTCCCTCTGAAGGACCTCACGGCGTTAACAAACCCTCGGCCTCCAGGTCCACCGCTCGATATTCATCTGCTACACAGGTACATCTCAATCAAATTCTGCATTCACGTATGCAATGTGAATGTTTTCTCTTCTTTATTGATATGGTCTCTCTCTTGTCTGCAGTAGTGATTGTAAAGGATTGCTCGTCGTGATTGATTCCCTTAAAAGTTAAAGAATCAATCACCCGGCTGTTTAGAAAGCTCTGAGGATCTTCCCGTTCACTTTGAGCCAAAAATGAACAATTCAGCGAGTCGTTAACTGAATACTCATCCTGAACAGATCATTAAATCAGCAACATGTTGACAGTCGTATCAGTCCAATTCACATTTGAGCCGGTTCAACAGAATTAGCTCGCTCATGAGTCAGAAATCGATTAGGTGTCTTGAAATGGATGTCTATTTACTCGCATCAAAATAATGAATAACCATTTTTATGAAATGTAGTGCAGAGAAAAGTATGATATTATGCTTTGAAAGGACACAACAAAAACTCACCTTTACAGATGGATATATATATATGTATGTATGTGTATATATATAACATTTTAGAGTGGCCTTTTATTGTGGCCAGCCTAAGGCACACCTGTGCAATAATCATGCTGTCTAATCAGCATCTTGATATGCCACACCTGTGAGGTGGATGGATTATCTCGGTAAAGGAGAAGTGCTCACTAACACAGATTTAGACAGATTTGTGAACAATATTTGAGCGAAATAGGCCTTTTGTGTACATAGAAAAAGTCTTAGATCTTTGAGTTCAGCTCATGAAAAATGGGGGCAAAAACAAAAGCGTTACGTTTATCATTTTGTTCAGTGTATATGTGTATATATATCTGATTCGTCTCCATGAAAAGTTCTTTCGGCTAGATCGTTTTAATGAATCAGTTCAAAAAGATTCAGAGGTCATTTTACGGTGGAACTGGCTTATCAATTTTGAGTGCTGCACGACAGAATAGATCATGACGTGATCGAGGGTCTTGATCTTATTTACATCTTAACTAAAATGCAATTTTCTAAACCTTTCTATCAGCCGATGATAATTCTGAAAGAAAATGCAGAGAGCACAGATCAGTGGCCGAGAGATAAACCACGAGCTCTAATGTGTTGTTGCTGTTCTGGTTATTTTGTTTCTGCGTACAGTTTGTTAATTTTGTGTAAAGCATATGGTTAAAGTAAACATCATTCAGCTTAAAGCAGCACTATGTAACTTTTGGCTCTCTAGCGGTTAATAAACAGAACTGCACACATCCCGCAGAAGAACATTCCAACCGGAGCTACTTCTCTAAGTTTATGTCTATGGCGATTCACGCAGGTATGTGTTCCTCCGCAGCGGTGACGACCCGACCAGGCTACAATAGTCAAAATATAAGTACTTATTATAAGTGTACCGTAGTGATTCGGAATAAGACAAAAACATGGTTTGGAAGATGAATTCATGATGTACTCGCTCATTATATACATTTTGCACATTTTGAACACAGAAAAAGTTACATAGTGCTGCTTTAACTGTCCACGTTTTAGGCACTTCATGTCTTGTTCATGCTATAAACGCATGTCCACTGCTGAGCTGTGGGCTATGACTAATTCCATGCGCAATGCAGACAAAATTGCAATTTAAAATCAATCAGATGCATCGTAATTTTTTACATCGATTCCAGAACCGGGAATCAGAATCGGACAGCCCTAGCTGGGGGTAGCACTGGGCACGTCGCTAGACCCAGGGGGCGTGCTGTCTTTGAACATCAAAATTTGATTGGCTGATGATTCTGTCACTAATGCTCGCAACAAATCAGATGCGACGTCTTTCAACAAAAGGGTAGCACTAGCTGTAGTATCTCAAAGTGTCTCAAAAGTGTCTCAAAATGATGATTTATACACCTTTATGCTCAAATAATAACTAAATAGTTTATATACTGTAAGTGTTTTAACAAAAATAAAGCTTCATAATAAATCATTCCTCAATGTCTTACTCCATAGATAAGTTCATTACTGTAACAGCAATTGTTTTTTTTTATTTGTGTTGCTCTTTAAAGCAGCTTTACAGAAAATTTAAACTGAAGGGTTCATCGCGATTTTCTGTTGTAGTCAACATTACACCACAAATAGTTATACCACAAATAATTGTTGATAGAGCTCAACCTGTACTGAAACTACAACTTTCCTTTAACAGGAATGCTATAATAAGTTGGTAAGTATTGAAGAGTAAGTAGAATGTTGTTTGCGCTTGCAAACAAACATTGTTATTGTAATTATCGCAAGGGATTTGTGAAGCTGCAGCAGATGTAATATTCAGAATGAGTTGTTTAGACATTTTCTGGTGCAGTTTTTTCCCCACATGTGGTGTTGTTAGTCCCGCTATACGCTGCAGAGCTGTTTGCATGAATATCAGCCGCATTAATCAGCGAGCGTGTCTCTGTGTCGCTGCAGAGCCGCATCAGGAGGATGTGGAACGACACTGTGAGGAAACAGTCAGAGTCGTCCTTCATCTCCGGAGATATCAACAGCACTTCCACTCTAAACCAAGGTAACAGATGAAACGCTGGGCTCTCACACACGCTGCTGTGCGTTTATAGATGCTGTAGGGTTTTTCTACTTGTTCCAGAGATGTTTATGTGAAAGGTATCATTATTTTATCTCCTTCTGTCTTCATTTAAATGAGCGTAAATAGTAACAAATTCTGTTTGCCTTGGGATGCATTCATGATTTATTTTTAGTTTTATGTATTTATTAGTTAGTTGGTGAATGCAGCCTGTGGTCACAAAGTGCATTGAACAAACTCGGGATCTGTTTCAGTTTGACGAATTCAAGCGAATTGAACCCAGATGCCACTGCACTCAATATAAACTTACTGTGTCACAGGATTGAACCTTGTGAGTTTTGTGGTTAGTTTAGCTCACGAGCGCATGTACAGGGAATTAATTTAGTACTGAGCTGAGGATGGAAAAATTATTATGGACACATTTACACAGTACAAGAGATTATTAAGAAACTATGACCAATTGACACAGACTTACACGCTGAGAGACATCACCACTGCTGAAGGGAGAAGATAAGCTGAAACGAATATAATTTGAATGCAAATAAAAGCATTTTATATAGATCCACAGCGAGAATGCATTGTCTTATAAAAATTAATGTAAATGCCTTTATTTAATTTTTTTAAAATTAAAATATGAATTTAATTTCTGTTATTTTGCAGACTTTTTTGCAAGCACAAAACATTCAAAGTGAACAATGCTTGCAATTGCCACTGATACACTTTTATGCATTAAGACGTATTTTGCTCTTTCTTTCTAGCAACACGTCAAGTAATGAAGATATATTTTGTGTACCAATGTCTCTTTTTTTAACTTAGTGATATACAGTTTGTTCATGTCACAGCATCTCATCCTGCTGTGTGGCCCATGATACATTGCATCAATCCGTCTTACTAGCCATTTTATCGATCTGTAATATATATATATATATATATAGCACTGCATTTTTTTTTAGGTTTTCTCCATCACACACTACATACATGTTTAAACTCTTATAGAGAAGCACAAATCGGCAATAAAACATGTGGCTCCAAATGCATAACAGGATATTTTACTATTTCTTCTCTTTCGTTTTCAGCTGTTTTGGTCTTTTCTGTTGGATCTGTGTGCAAATAGTCTCTGTCTTTTTTCATTAGGACTCTTACATGCAATCCTTTATTTTCTTTCTTTCTTTTTATTTGGCAGTTTAAAATGCATAAAAATAACAAGATAATGCAGTTTATAGACAGTGCAGGGAGAGGTAAAAAAAACCACGAGGACTTATTTAAAGCCTCCACCTAAACAATATAAAGTCTTCACAAAATTATAATGAAAACCAAATTAACAGAGAAGTTTATAAAACTACATCCAAAAAAAGTAAATACATTCATGCATACAGTATGTACATACATGTTAAAATGCATCTATGCATGCATCTGTGAAAAGTGCATATATACACACAAGAAAATATTGATTTTACACATAAAGATTCAAGATTTCTTCATTTGAGAAATCCTAACAGTGCAGTCACATGTAACTTAAACATCTGTAATACAAAAAAAAATTAAAAAGTATGTTATTACTATACAATACAAGACAAACAATGCTTAAACCAATGCAAACAAGGCGATAGTGCAAAGTTAAGCCTTATCTGCAATACAGTCAGCGATAAACGGTATGCTGTTTAACAATACAATACAAAGACAGTACAAACAAGGCGATAGTGCAAATTTAAGCCTTATTAAATATCGTATTGCACAGTTGGCACATAATAGAAAAGATGTACATGTTGCATTGTTTGCATTCTAAAGGCTCCAGTGAGTGGACTATAAAACACTATAAAACTGGTCTTTGTCTTAGGTTAGTTAGAGAGCGACCAGAATGCTTTTTTAAACACGATTCATTATTTAGGCTTTGCACAAGTGTTGCTGATGAGAGTTTGGTGTTCAGTTCGAGCTGCTAGAGACGTGACCGAGCGAGAGGAAGAGTGACTTTGAGTCAAACTAGCGTAATGTGCTCGGGTGTGACGCAGGACCCAGTGTTCTTTGGTACACTTCAAATTTGAAATTGAAAGTAATAGTTTTCATGTTTTTTTTTGTGTATTCTGAAAAGATTTAGCTGTGATCTGGCATCGGGACAGATGCATGCTCTAAACAAAGTCATATTTATAAATATTAGTGTCTGAAAGTCGAACATCTTATCGGTTCTTGTGAGATAAGATATAGTTTTGTGTCCAAGTAAAACATTTGCTTGGTGGGCCATTCTGTTCACATAATCTGAAATATGTGATCAGTCAACATTTAGTTCTTGTGTCCACTCAGAGCAGCTTTTCACACGCATAGCAATGTCATCTGAGTTTCAGTTCACAGTTCAGTAATTCTGTCTAATTCTGTTCTGCTTTTCTAAAGCTCTCTTGTTCACACTCATTCTCCTCTCTTTATTTGTTCAACAGGAATGAGCGGCAACTATCTGCTAACTAACCCTCTCCTCAGGCCTCACGACACTAACAGCCGCTATAACAACCTTCTCGCCGAAACCATCGTCTGCAACACCCCTTCTCCTCCAGCTTTCCGCTCTCCAGGTGCTTTATGGGCCAGGTCTCTTTCTGTCATTTGGGAATGTGGGCTGGAAAAATCCCGGCTTTTTCACAGCATGATTAACACAGGACTGCAGTTTACAGAGAATCTGGAATGAAATCACTGCAGCCTTTCTCCCTTTGAGCTGCATGAATCTCTTGCTTTTTTATACCATTACCTCCAAATTATTAATTAACCCTTTTAATTCAGTTTTTTTGTTGTTGAGACTTTTTGAGAATGATGGATTAGAAGAGCTTTCCCAGATTTAATTTGTTGAGATGACACAAATATTCAAGTTGTCACTTAATACAACTTGTGTTAATAATAAAGCTAAGTTGACCAAACTTTACATTTTAAGGTGGCACAAACACTTTTCATAAGTTTTTTCATTCATTCATTCATTGAAGCATTTATTATTTATTACATTTTTTTTTTTTACAGTTTATTTCCTGCTGTATATTGTTCATGTGGCAGCCTGTAATTGGCATTATAGCAGTGTTATCTATTCTTCTCATTTTTATTTTATTTTTAATATAAATGTATTTATTTATTTATTTGCGGATATAAGATGCATAACCCTAACCCTAATCTCAATTTAATATATACATATTTTAATGAACCACCCAAAATTTAAGGGGAACAGCCAGCGATCGCCATGCATTTTCACTATATGAAAAAGAGCATACACTGAAAGAGAATGGTGTATAAACTATTTTCACTCAGAAATTGAAAAAGAAAACAGCAAGCAACACATTAAATGTGACATTTGAAAGTACAAAGACTGAGATAGTATGCAAAATTGTAAAATGTGCTCCAATAATCTTTGTTTTATGTACAACAAGGAAACAAGCCATCTTACCAAATCACACATTATAAAACGTTTCATTGTAATAATTTTTATATTGCCTTTTTTCATTGATTTGAGTAGATTTTTTGCATTTGAAACTGTAATATATATATATATATATATATATATATATATATATATATCTATAAACATTTTAAGCAACTTCAAGCATAAAACAAGTGCATGGTGATATAGTTTCTATAAAATAAGGAGACCCAGAATTTAATAAATTATACAAATATTGTAGCTATATATTTATTTATGTACGTTGAAGTATGGTAGAGTATGTAAATTCACATAATTGAACGAAATAAATTGAATAGTCACTATTCATAACTGTCAAATAGTATAGAAATGCATAAGCTAGAAATGCTGACAGTTTCAGTGCTGTTTACAGACTTGTAGACAAATGTTTTCACTGTAATAGAAAGTAGGAGTTTTATTGAAATGTTTGATTTATTGTGGCAGTGTAATGTCTCAGGGGCTGACTGCAGCCTGATGCTTGAAGCGGAAGTGAACGAAAGAATTGCTTCTGATTACATCTGAACAGCTCGCTCAGACTGAGACCTTCGCTCTAGACAGAGAGCAGCAGGAAAAGCATTTGTACATTTGCAACGCTGAGCAATCAAAGATCTGGCTTTTCTCCCAGAATTCCTGCTTTCCAGCCGCGTTGGGTCTGCTTCTCCAGTCCAGACAGTACCTGGCTGGACGAAACCCCTCGCCAGCGCATAAACAAATGCAAATCATCTAGGCTGAGATGATGTTTTATGGTTGTTTGCTTTATTTTTGTCCTTCATTTCTCCCCTCGGTCCCTCCCGTTCAACTCTTAGATATTTTATATTTTAATTTAGATAATATTTGTAATCATTTTAAAGCTAAATGAAGCTTATTTGTCTTACACATTATACAGTGTTTTTATATAAAAAAATAATATATATATATATATATATATATATATATATCTATAAACATTTTAAGCAACTTCAAGCATAAAACAAGTGCATGGTGATATAGTTTCTATAAAATAAGGAGACCCAGAATTTAATAAATTATACAAATATTGTAGCTATATATTTATTTATGTACGTTGAAGTATGGTAGAGTATGTAAATTCACATAATTGAACGAAATAAATTGAATAGTCACTATTCATAACTGTCAAATAGTATAGAAATGCATAAGCTAGAAATGCTGACAGTTTCAGTGCTGTTTACAGACTTGTAGATAAATGTTTTCACTGTAATAGAAAGTAGGAGTTTTATTGAAATGTTTGATTTATTGTGGCAGTGTAATGTCTCAGGGGCTGACTGCAGCCTGATGCTTGAAGCGGAAGTGAACGAAAGAATAGCTTCTGATTACATCTGAACAGCTCGCTCAGACTGAGACCTTCGCTCTAGACAGAGAGCAGCAGGAAAAGCATTTGTACATTTGCAACGCTGAGCAATCAAAGATCTGGCTTTTCTCCCAGAATTCCTGCTTTCCAGCCGCGTTGGGTCTGCTTCTCCAGTCCAGACAGTACCTGACTGGACGAAACCCCTCGCCAGCACATAAACAAATGCAAATCATCTAGGCTGAGATGATGTTTTATGGTTGTTTGCTTTATTTTTGTCCTTCATTTCTCCCCTCGGTCCCTCCCGTTCAACTCTTTGCAGAACACAGACGTGTTTTTCACATCCCTTATGTTTATTTCAAACGACAGAACTTTAAATCCATCCTATGCTCCACATGAAACAGCAGTTCATTAAATGTATGATAATTTTACACTCTTTCAGTTCTATCACCAACGTATTGTTATGAGTCAAGAAATACTGCTGTTTCATACTGCTTTGTAATTATGACTTGAGATGTTTATGCATTCATATACTGTAGGCCTGCAGAAAATAATTAGGTATCACTTTATGTTGATACTCCACTTTAGACATTTTACTAACTATAAGTAAGAACTAGCACTCATTAGAGTATTAGTTGTCTGTCTGCTAAATATCTGCTAACACTTTATTTTGATGCTCCCCAACACGCATTACACTGACTACACTGCAAGTAACTTTGCAAGAACATGTCAACTTATTCTACTAACCCTAACCCAACAGTCTACTAATACTCTAATCAGAGTTACGTAGTTGACACCATTGCAAATTAAAAACGGTTAGTTGACATTTAGCTGCACTAAGTTAACTTATAGTTAGTGGAATGTCTAAAGTGGACTGTCGAAATAAAGTGTGACCGATATTTCTTTCTTTCTTTTAAAGATGGAGTGCTAAACCTGTTACTCCTGCCATATCCTGCATTCAGCCTTCCGATAGATTCGCTCACAGAAAAAATGGATTTAAAAAGCTTTATTGCTTTGCACATTCAAATTTGAATATAATTCGAATTGGGAAGATGCAAAAAGTAGGGTTGTGCAAGAAAAAGAAAAAAAAATTATATATTTATATATTCTTTCTTAAATTATTCTATTTCTATTAAATAATTCTACACTTTGATTGGAATAAATCTAAATAATGTAAAGATCTAAATTGGGGAATTGCAGACTGTCATAATAATAAACATACGTTATATGAAGATGATAATAGCCCAAATTAATTTTCACCACAAAACTTCAAATTACAATTAAGCATTCTGTGGTGCCAATTCGAATGTAACGTATGAAATGAAAAAGAAACAAGTTTCACATTAATAATTTTCCCTAACCCTAATTTATGGGGAAAATTACTTTCAGCCTTTCGAGCGTGGAACATTAAAAAAGTCTTGCATATTTCTTTATTCATGTTATTTATTTGTTCAAATTGTGAGTGAAATGAAATACATGTGGTGGATCTTGATGGGCTGAATTCAGATCTTTGGAGTTTGTAAGCTTGTTGATTTCTCACTTTTCTGTCTTTGCTGCGATTTTTTAAAAACGCCGTTGTTTCGCTCTTTTTGTTTTGGCACATGGGCAGTTCTCAGGTCAGCTAGCCTGAGCAGACACACATGATGTGAGTGTTTGCACTCTTCGCCTTCGCTCTGTGATCTGTGGACTGGCATCTGTGTGCTCCATAAACACCATTCATCTCTGTTGTGTTCGATGCAGACGTTTACAGCATGTTTTGTGTTTATGCTCATGCTTTTTCTGTGGAAAAAAAAAAGAATGCTGATTGTTTTTGCAAGAGGTTCTTTGGCTGCCATGTTGTTGCTATTACTGTTAAAAACATCAGTTTATGAAGCATTGAATATTTTGTTTGAACAGTCTCTGTTTAGCAACATGCATCTCTACTCTTTTAATTTAATATTTTAGGTTTTAATTAGGGCTGTCAACCAATTACAGTTTTTAATCTAATTAGTTACATGACATGCCGATTAATGAATCGAATTAATCACGTTATTCACACATTGATTTTGGCTGAAAAATTACCCTCCAAAAATCATTTAAAGTCATTGTTGTGTTAGATGAGAAAAGCCTTGAATAAACATTACAAAAAAATAGCTTTTGATTCAGCATTGCATAAATAATGATAATAATTCAGTATTTTTTAATTTAATTGTATTATAATCTAGCGAGGGCTGCATTGGCCCCGAGCTCCCCGAGGGCGAACCCGCTAGCGATGGACAGATGCAGCTAATCACCAGCCTCTGAGCCAAGAATGCATGCTTTCCTTTGTTTTCTTCTTTTGCTTCTCCCATCCAAGAGACGACATTAAGTCAACGGCACAATGAATTGTTTTTTAGTAACAGAACTCTGGTCAAACTCTTCTATCGTACTGATCGAACTGCTCGAAGTGAGCAGAAAGTGTCAAGACTGGCATCATCTACGTCTGCCAAAAGCTTTGTACAGTATATAAAAAAGAAACATGCCAATGTCTGATTTTTGTAGGACTTTGAAAACTCTCCCAGCCAGTTCGCAGGTGACTCTTCCCTTCTTGGAAAGACTGTGATACAGGAAATGAAAAGAATGAATTCAAATCCCAGACTCAGGCCTTATATTTTCTCTATTGCACAAATAACTGTTGTACGAATGACAACTAAAGAAAATCTATTTTGCAGTACCAGGTGTAAAGAAAGCCAGTTCAACCCGAAATCACCACATCTCCACTTGAGAAATGATGTGTTCAGTTATGGATTTTATCACGGAAGTTGTATTTTGCCAACGTAAATGTTCAAAAAGGAGCTTCCTTATTTTTTTAGCTTAACGGAAGTTGTGTCTTGCACAAATTTGGAGTGAATTGGACTAATATGTAATTTGTTTTACTTAAAAAAAGAAAAAAACTTTGACTTTGTCAGGGATCATTAACATTCATACGTGTCAACATGTCTTAAGAACATATCTCAGTATTTGGCACTAAATCAGGGCTGTCCAAACTCAGTCCTGGAGTGCCGGTGTCCTGCAGAGTTTAGCTCCAACTTGCCTCAACACACCTGACTGGAAGTTTCTATGCCTAGTAAGAGCTTGATTAGCTGGTTCAGGTGTGTTTAATTAGGGTTGGAGCTAAACTCTGCAGGACACCGGCCCTCCAGGACCGAGTTTGGACAGCCCTGCACTAAATAATTTATTATATGAAGTATGAAATAAAAAGGGTTGGAACGAAAGTGGGTGTGATGTAACACTGTTGATATTCACTTCAGTCTTTTTTAAGACCCCATTGTCGTTGCATATGTACATTCAACTCTTGTTTGATATTGAATAAATGTGATGATTTTTTCTTGTTTGCAGATATATCATTCTCATTCAGTGAAGCATCAAACTAGCCAAACAATCTTATTAGATGTCAAAAATAACCTAAGATCTCTTCATAACTTGCCTGATGAGTTATTTGCAATATAAATGAATTGTTGTTAGTTATTTGTATTAATGTTTTTTTCATGTTTTAGCAAAACTTTGCTATTTAATTAATTGACAGTATGTACTTACTATATGGTTAGAATTAGGATTAGGGTTTGGTTTTGGGTAATTGCATGTAATTATGCATAATTTGTTATTACTATCTTAAGAACATGTAACATGTTTAAAGGCAGGGTAGGTGATTTGGTTCAAAAACATTTTTTGTTATGCTGGTTGAAAGTCTCTTAACATCCCGATAGCACTCACTAAGTTCAGTGGTTTAAATGTATTTACATGCATTTATATCATCTGTGGATGGTGTAGGACTATAAAATAAAATGTTCGTCCAATCATATTCCTCGGTTTGAGGACTACAACAGAGTTACGCAAATAACATCAGGGAAAAAATATATTGTGGTCACAAATTGAGAATTAATTTATAAAAATTGTGGCCACAAATTAAACAAAATGGTGGAAAAAGACCTCGTTTCTTCCTGCATGTTGTGCATAGGTTAACAAATGCTTTTTTATCGTTAAGCCATTTTTTTATCGTTAGGCCATAAAAAATACTTAATGCAAATATGTGAAATCTTGGCAAACACATTGCAAGTGCAGCTGAACTTGCGTAAAATGGGAATGAAGGAATGAGACACTGTGTCAGTAGCTGATACTTTGGACTGAAAACCCCAGAATTCCAAATGGAATCATTCAATTTTTGAGGGATTAGTTAAACCTGGAAGCAAAGGGTGAAAAGCCAAGAAAACATATGACTTTCCAACGCAAGCCATTTAGGTCAAAGCTTCAACCCCGCTGTGGGGAGCTTGGAATTTCAGGGAGAACTAAAGCAGATAATAAGTTTACTTCACTGATACAACTAAAGCCAAAAGTAAATGTAATTTGTCCACATTCTTTTCCAGCTTCAGGATTTTTGTCATCAGCTGATGTCCACGCAGACAGAATTGAATGAGAGCTTAAAAAGAAAGGTCTGCCTTTCATGGTGGAGTGTACTTTAAAGGTGCTGTATGTAGGATAGACACCATAACTGACTGTAGCATTGTTTTTCAGATAAACAAGTATGTTAACTTAGCATGTTTCTTCAATATCTGCAAACAAATTATGGCATTTTTATGCTTTAGTAGAGTCAAAAACTTACATACAGCACCTTTAAAAGGCTTGCATGCTTGACTGTGCACAAAATGGAATGGAATGTGGACAATGAAGTGTTCCTAAGCCTTAAGTCCACTTGTGCTTCCACAAACACTCACCAAATCCTCGACGCCACCTGAGGATGCAGCCTACAATCTTCAAGCTTGACTCCCTGATGCAAGAGCAAATCTGTACCACAATTCAAGTGACCTGGTTTGTGCACAGCACAAATGGACAGCAACATGCTGAGCCAGATCTAAAGTTGGATATGAGTGCATTCCCTGATGATTGTAGACCAGTGGTTCCCAACCACGTTCCTGGAGTACTCCAACACTGCACATTTCACATTTTTCCTTAATCAAACAGGTCATCAGCTCATTAGTTGAGACTCCAAGACCTGAAATGGTTGTCAGACGAAGGAGGCATGCAAAATGTGCAGTTACTCCAGGGTACTCCAGGAACATGGTTGGGAACCAGTAGCTACATTTACATGGACACCCTTTGTTTCAGTCGGAATGAAATCATTCCAACTGATGAATTTGACCATAGTGTTTACGTGAATGCCAAATAAAGTGATTGGGTTGATGTGAGCATGTATATGCCACAGGTTTCCAATTATACAGTATATACAGTATGTATGCCATCGTCAGATACTGCGATTAATCCACCATGACAACTTTGCACCATGCAGGACTTTTGAGCCAAGGCAACTGCCTCTTATAGACAGTCCCTGTACCAAACTCTTGAGTATGTCTGTATAGTAGAGAAGCTTTCAGGAAGAGATGCCTAAAAAGACAAAGCAGTAGCCAAAGACCTGGTGGAAACAGATCCTTAGAGGATGACATCTCTATCACCTCCTTTAAAAGAAAGGACAAGACTTCTTGAATCAGGATCTGGTTCCTAGAACATTTGTCATGTAACTCAATCATGTTCATGCTTTCAAGAGCCCTAAAAAATGGTCAGTTAAAAGCACAATTTTGTGGAGTTGCTAACAATCCAATTAATGGGATATCCATAAAACTTCTGTCCCAGATGTGCACCAATGCGACACTACTAACTGCAACAAAACAATCCGCCTGTATGAACATCAGCCAAATGAGATGCATAAAAGAGACCCATAAACAAGCAAACAGCATCAGTGCCCTTTTATCAGCATGTCTTTAAGACATAACACCAGGCTTAATAAAAGTCTTAAACACCTTCAAAAAGCTTTGCAGTGTTTTATGCATATATATTGCCTCATTCTTACTCGGAAAAGCAGCCCGTCTCATCCTATTTCTATGTAATTATCACCCTTCAGGTGAAGCAGATGGCAAATTAACCGCTGGATGCAAACTGCTGACAATGTAGTCGTCTTATCCATTTTGCATGATGACAGTGTTAGTGTTTATGCACATCCTGATTACAACAATTTTGACAGTGGGTGGTTGTTGTCAGAGACTAAGTATGGAATGATTTCTGAAGAAGTTGCTGGGGTTTTTGTGTGTGTGTGTGATATAATCATTCTCCATATTGAAATGTGTTGCTTGCATAAAGAAGGTTCATTAGTATCACTTGTTGTTATGCAGCACAAACTTATTGGTTCGGAGAAATAACTTTTTTACACAGTTCCAGTTTTAGGACATTTCATAGGCTTAAAATGTGTTTGTCTAAGCAAATCAATTTGTTTGTGAACCAGTGCATCAGCAGATAAATTAGGCCACAATGGTCTGAAATGCAAGCCCGTTACAAGGCTTTGTAGACAGTGTTCAGTCTTCTTCTTTACTACAATGGAGTATTATAGTGCCCAAAGTATTCAAATGTGTAGTAGAGACTGTGAGAAAAGCATGGTTTGTTCCAGGTTCTCAGCCAGCTCTAAATAAAATCCTTGTGGAAAAGAATGATTAATTTACAGAAATGGACAAAGAGGTTGAAAACCCTGATAAGATGACATAATCTTACCACAGTGCTCTCATCTCACAAAGGAGTACCGCAAGGTTCTGTTTTAGGCCCTCTTCTGTTTTCCTTATAAATGCTTCACCTAAAAGCTCTACATTTCTTGTATAAGACCTTTTTTGTAGATATTGTATTAAAGACATTAAATACTCAGTGACCAGCTATTTCTTTCTGTTGACACTCCATTGTTGCTTTCAGATAGAGGTGGATGACAAGTCTGA